CTGTTGACAAGGACCAAAATTCCAGAAAAGAGAAAATAACAGATTTTTTGTCCTCTTCAGGAGCAAAAGTCTAAGATTTTTTATCAGTACTCCACCAAACAGTCCACCAATTCCCATGTTCTCCCCAAAGAAGTTGCACGTGAGTGAAAACTCATAATAATGAACTAGTTTTGATAATCATAATGATTAACTATTTTATTTAGCCAACACACAGGGCAAGACAAGTGTTTTCACCATATTCTCTCCTGCCAATCCCTGCCCCAAGCTCGGGAACCCCCCAAAGAAATCCACTGTTCTTTACTATGGCGTAAAACACATAGGTATCTTCACTCTTAACTCTGATGCTCTCCAATTTCCCCCAAGCTCCGAACCAAAATTCCATAAAGAGAAAACAACAGGTGCTTATCTTTTTCAGGTAGAGAAGGCTAACGCTTCAATTAGTGTGCCACCAAATAGTCATAACTACCAACTGTTTTATTTAGCACAGACAGGAAAAAGATGCCAACATACAGGGAAAGACAGTATTTCACCATCTCTCCTGTCCCCCAACCCTAAAAAAATCCACTCTTTTTTACATGGCATCAAAACACATTGTTATCCTCATTCTTAACCAGGATATTCTCCTGTTCTCCCCCGGCTTGGAACCAATATAACCTCTTGGCTAACTGCACAGCAACACCAGTGTTATTTATGGTCCATTGTTCTTATCATCATTCATTGTGCATAGTCTGTCACTTAGCTTTATTGTCTTCCAATATTCAATCACAACCAGTATAATATATTGCTAAAATATTTTACAAAGAGAGTAATCAGAATTTTAGAATGTTGCAAGAGTAGAAGCAAAAACGAGCTTCAAAAGCATGTCCTAAGTAAGTGGGGGGCCAAAAGCAAACCCCCAAAATGTCATGTAGGAATTTGTTTTGAAAGGAAGAAAAAAAAGAACGGAAAAAATCTTCATATTTTAGAACTCTCTCCTACTTAGTAAATGTTTTTCTCATTACATCTTCTCTATTAATGTTTACAAGCCAAGCCACCCACGAGACACTCACTCCACGCAAACAAGATGCCGCATGGGTCAAGAAAATGCATCCTAGAAGAATCACAAATCCATAAAGAGTATGCCAAAAATCATATAAGTTATCCTAACTTAAAGAGAATTTCCAGCCCTAAAGAAATACTCAACCCTTGAAGCTACCACGACAAAGAAACATAAAGGCCAACTTTCCACCTCCCCCGCTGGCCCCGTAATCATCTATAGCTTTTTTACTTTTAAATCTGCACTGTAATCATCGAAAAAGATAACCACTAGAGAAACAAGACCCTTCTATCACCTTTTTGCAAAGTGTCCAAGCCAATAATCTGAATTTCCTAGCAGAAAAAGCATCACAAGCCAAAATTTGAACATTTCCATATGTGCATGATCTGATGATTCAAGCGAACTAACAAAAACTCCATCTGCTACCCAGACTGAGCAGATACCATTAAACACAGTTATGCCCAAATCAAAGTGTCCCTTGATGCCATAAAGAGAAAAAAGAATGTCCTTGAAGCATTACTCACACTTCAGGAACTTCAAACCACCATTGGCGGCAATTTTTGCTTTTGTGAATCCATGAAAACGTTCAAAAAATAATCCATGAAAGTTTCTTAGCTCACGGGCAGTCAGGTTTCAGCCAACAACATTCCGCAATTTCTAATTTTAATCAATTATACATTTCAATCAGCTTTTGAATACTAAGTTATACCATAAATGCCTCCATCATTCTATACAGTAAACTTTTGCATGCTATAATCGACAATGCTTAGTTCAAGTAACTAAGAGAGCTTAGATTATCCTGCTAATCAACCAATCCTCATTTCTTTTTTAACCTTCACGCAATTAACTTCGAATAACACTAACTAATGCCAAATTAGAACAGAGACATTACCATTATCGACTGGGAAAGGGAAATCAGTCCAGCACTCGGGCCTAATTGAGATTTCTTTGACAAAATCAAGAACCTCTTCCGTAATCCCAGGGACTTCATCAAATTCACCATTGTCGAAATCATCCTCTTCTTCTTCTTCATCCTCCTCCTCCTCCTCCTCCTCCTCCTCCTCTTGATTTTGAAAGGGAAACAAACTGGTGGCAAATTTTGAGATCCCACTAACCGCTTTGTTACCGGACAAGAGAGAAAGCCCGCTCTTGAAGCTTCCGCCAATTTCCACGAGATCGTTACGGATCCCGATAAGCGCCTGCGACGAACGCGACGAATCAGGCGGTGGCTGCCCGACGTCTTCCGTACCTGTAGACGTGATAGAAGGAGAAGTTGGCGGTGAAGGCGGCGGGGCCAGAAAGGCTGCCACACCTCGCAATTGCCGGCCGATTGTTTGACCGAGGACGGAGAACTCGTCCTTGACGCCGCCGCGAGCTGCGGAGGCGTCGTCCGGCGATGAGGGCTCAGGGGACGGGCACTGCGATGAGGAATCAGCGTCGTCGTCGTCGTCGATCCGAAGGGATTTCAAGAGCCAAGACATTGTCCTGCGCTATGTCGAGTTAGCAGTTACTTGAAGCTAAAATATCCAATTACTCCTCATTTTTGCCAATGTACATTATACCACCGGGACACGTCGGCACTCGCCGTAATTTCCACACGTGTGATTTCCCGGTAAAGTTCGCACGTGCCTCTCTCTCCCTTTCATTTTTTTTTTTATCTTTTTAAAATTTTAGTTTAATAATTAAATTGTCATCGCAGTTAAATTAATCTTTTACATTTCTGTATTAGCAGTAAAAAAAAATTTTGTTTGGTAGAATTGATAGGTAATAAGTTAAAAATGACAGAAGGTAAAAACTACAGTTTAACCCAAAACAAAGTTATTAACTGATACTAATTTTCACTCTCCCTGTCCGCCATGCCAGTGGGGGAAATGTTCTTCAAGCAGCAGAGAAACCAAGAGGCAGAGAGCTAAAGCTTAACATCTCTTCATTACATAATATAATAATCCCATAGCAACAATCACAAATATTGCAGACCCTCTCCAGAAATCTACAAGAAATTTAACCTTTCCG